AGAAGAGAAGAGAAGAGAAGAGAAGAGAAGAGAAGAGAAGAGAAGAGAAGAGAAGAGAAGAGAATCATCTGGATGGCGGTTAAGAGAGGGGAAAATAAAAGAAAATCAAACAATCTTGTTTAATCATTATAAAAAATCTCTAAGGGGGAAGCTTGCCAATTTTCAAAGGAATCCATAGTTTCCATCAGATGTCTTTAGCCGATAATTTCTTTTGAAAAGCAACTTCTGTGGTAAACACCTCCAATTCACAGAAAATGGGAGGTGAGGGAGATTTTTCTCCTCCTTTTGGCAGATACTATTGGAAAAAAATATGTGAAACTGATACAAACTGGATTCAAACTTGCAATTATATCAAATAAGTCCTAAAACTGATGTGAATTGGCTACAACTTGCTTCCTCCCTCCCACCTGAAGACACATCAAAGCCGGTAGGTGACCAGCCTGTTAACATACCTGCCAGACTCCTACCACGGCATTAGCTATGAGGATCATAATAATCACAACAGGCTCCACAAAGGCTGTGGTGGTTTCTTCTCCTTTCTCAAACCAGGCCAGAATCTGCAAAGGGAAGAAGGAGGGGACATTTAGGCAACCATCTCAAAAAACAAACAAGACGAAAGGCAGCCATGGTTGAGGCCTTCGTTCCATCCAAAGGGAGAACTGACCAAAACAAATTTCAGATGTTTTTTTTTTAAAGAGAAATTGTTGTTAGTCATTAGCAACTTTGTTTGAGAAGATAGAACATCTCCTCCTACGATGAGGAGAGGAGGATGCTTGAATATAGACATCCATACATATGGAACAGTGCAGTATGAAAACAAACTTATGTTGCCTGTGGAAGAGGTGCAACTTTTAGAAATCTTACCTGCTTTTAAAAAAAGGTGTGATTTTGCTTGTAGTTATTTTTGAAACACAGAGAGATTAGCTTAGACTTTAAATCTATCATCTTGAATTTTCATATGAATCAGAGGGAAGAACTTCACAGAAGGAAAGTTTCCAATCCCCTTTCCTCCCCCAATCTCAAAGACACCTTCAATCCCTTAAATGCCACTCTAGATGTTGAAGGAAGGGGGCTGAGGAATAACATCAGATGGGAACTGCCACACAATAGGATTCTAAATTAAATTAATGGAAGCTGGTTCCTGGAATAAGTTTTCAGCCTTTTCCTTCCCTAATAGCTCTATTGCACCTCGTTTTGATTTTTCAGGACTTCTTTCATAGTACCAAAACAGAAGCTGGATCTGAAAAGACCACTAGATTTGCTTAATAATTGCAACGAAAAAGATTGTAAAATCCCAACTGTGGACTACTAGTATCAATATTACCACATCCACCATCTTGCCTCTCTCTCACTCCAATCCCTGTGCAAATGCCACGACTTTATAGAGGTCTAATGACAATTTATTGCAGGCAAGAGAAGTACAGGAATCAGCAAGTTTTCTTGTTTTCTCTCAAGCTAAGGCTTCAACTAGGCTGGTGTTTATCAGCTTTGGTAATTTTAAGATGGGTGAACTTCAATTCCCAGATGTTTTAATTGTTGTGAGGCTTCTACACATGTGAGATGTGTAGCTATCCACATTGAAAAAAATCAAAATAAAATAACATTCTTCCATTCAGTCACCATCCCATGATCTACACCAGGAAATGATTCTTGTTGAGGCTTCTTCTACTGGTAGTAGAGTGCATAGTGAGGCATGCTGGGAGATGTAGTGCCCACAAGACCATTGCCTCTCCAGATGTAGCCTACCACGTGTTGCAGCGTCCATTGACTGTTGTTGAGACAGAAAAAGCTTGGAAAATGTAATCTGAAAATCAGGTGTTTGTTTTTTTAAGTGATGGATAGCAAAAATAAACTAACTTCTTCCAGCAAATAATTTTCTCAAGTGGAGGGAAGTGACTAGAATCTCCTGTAGCTACACATCTGACATCAAAAGAAATACTTCAAAGCAGTAGTTACTAAATATAAACTTCCTTAATACTCTCACATTTACTTGTGGATATTTGTTTTTACCCTTTTGCTTTTGGCCAAACATTCTTGGACAATATTTCTCAGTTACCTAGCTGCAAAGTTTAATTTTCCTTCTTCTGATGGAAAGCCAGGTCAAAAGACAAAGGAGCTGGAACCTATTGAGTTAATGCTACATTTGAAAACACAACAGATTGAGTTAAACAGGCTGTAGAATCCCCACTGATCTGGATCCACATTGTGGCTTTTCACTTTCTATTGGATTAAACCTTTGATGTTCATAAGAAAATAAAGTTGAGAGGAGAGAACAGAAACCCAACAGGACACACTTATTCAATTTATTGTAATCCTGCAGAACAGGAGGGAGGAAAATAGAAAGGAAAATATTATTTCAGACTTTGTATCCCATTATTTGGGATGCGGTGGCTCAGTGGCTAAGATGCTGAGCTTGTCGATCAGAAAGGTCGGCAGTTCAGTGGTTTGAATCCCTAGCGCAGTGTAATGGAGTGAGCTCCCATTACTTGTCCCAGCTTCTGCCAACCTAGCAGTTCGAAAGCATGTAAAAATGCAAGTAGAAAAATAGGGACTATTTTTTTCTAAACTAGTATTGAATAAAAATTAGCCAAAGTTACTAACTACTATCAAACTTAAAGTATCGACTACAATGTAAATATAATGGTGATATGA